AAAATTTTCTATTAATGATTAATAATAATAATTTAAATATAACTGTATTTCAATTATAATGCAAATACTTCTCATAATAAGTACTGACTGGTATAGTAAATTACTAATATTATCAAACAAAATTTATTATTAACTAACTATATTAAATAATTACAAGTAAATATATATATATATATATTAAATTAATATATTATAAATATACATTAAATAAATATATTAAATAATGTTAAAAGAATAGACCGAATGTTTTGATTTATTTACCTACTTTTGCTGTATAATTAATTCAATAATTATACCAATTTGAAAAATGAGAACTTTTGTTAAGTTAAAAGAACAATTTTTATAATAGAATAATGTATTCTGAAATGTAAAAAATAAATTTGAAAGATTTTATATGTATATATAAATTTTCATGAGACTTTACCAAAATTAGAAAGATGTACCAAAATTTTTATAGGTTATGTGTTCACACATTTCAGAAATAGTCAAGAATTTCAGAAATGGTCAGGAATTTCAGAAATGGTCACAGTTTCGAAAATGGTGGGAGTAAAGTGGGAGGAGCTTGGAAAGTATTTGGTTAGGAATGGTGAGAAACGTTCGAAAACGTCAGAAGTGGTGAGACTGTTCAGGAATGTTCAGAAATTCTGACCATTCATGACGATTCCTGATTTTATTTTTAGTAGGGTTTATAAATATTTATAATAAAAATGAAAAGATTTTTTGTTAAAAACAATTTAATAATAATTAAAATTTAATAATTTAGAAAAAAGGTTCACACAGGAAATGAAAAGTGTTAAAATAACACGCAACAAATTTTACCCTACGAGGGTAAAATTTGTTGCGTGTTATTTTAACACAAATTCAGGTTAAAACAACACTTTTCATTTCTTGTGCAAAATTTATAAAATTTTCAGGAGAAATAAAAAGTATTTTTTTTCATCGAAATGTTGAAAAAACATTTCGATATGCATCCACACACATACATCCGGAGAATTTGTTCCCCATGTTGAAATATTTATATATACGCTATACTTAAAAATTTGTAAAAATAATTGATTCTAAGAAAATCGACACCCTATGAGGAAATAAAACTGTTAATATTAAATAATTATTAAAAAATACTATTTTTAAAAATTTTGTAGTTCCAAATGAAAGTTAATTGTTTCACCCGTTTTGTATGCACTCTTGGTTCATTGTTTTAGGAAAAATAACATTTTTTTATAAAAAGTTGCAAAAAAATTCATTTTACAATAACTTTTTTTAAACAAAATTTTTTCTGTCGTTTGTTTGTTAGAGACAATGGCCAAATAAAAATGCTTTTTTTTATTTCGATTATAAAAATAGGTTTTGTAAAATTTCACTGATTCTGACTCAATAATTTTTTTAGAAAATAATAGTTAAAATAATTTTTTCTATTTTTTAATACAGGAAAATTTAGAATCTAAATATAATATTTCGTGAGGAATAGGAATATTTCAATTTTTCATCATTCTAGTAGTCATTTCTTGTATCCTTTTACTTTATAACTTTTTTCCTAAAAATATTAAAATATTATGCATATTTTAAAGTTTTTTTGACCCCCCTCCTCTCCATTAATTTCGTAAAAGGAGTATTTCTGGTAAAGGATCCGGAGATAATTATCGTTGAAAATTCCGACGTCGTAAACTACGTTGTACATGACGCCGTAAACGACATTATCGTATCGACGTCATATATCACGTAGTATACGACGTCGGAAACGAAAGCGGAAATTGGGATAGTGAATGACGTAGTATACGACTTCGTAAACTACGTAGTAAACGGCGTAGCAAACGACGTCGTTTACGGTGTGGCGAAAATGATTATTTTAATATTATTTAATAAATACGTGACAAAAGCAGTTATTATATAGAATAAAAATTATTTTAATTAAAATAAAATCATACATCATTTCTAAAAGGTCGAATTCCTAATTGACAATAAATAAGACGTTGTTTTCATATTCAAATTATTTTTTATTAATATAATATAAAATATCTTTTTTAACATTATGTAACTCATAACAATTTTAAAAAATCTAACATAAGTGAGATAATAAATACAATTACTTAAAATATGGAGTGTAACAATTATTTCACTTAAAGATTTAAAGCACTTTTTAGATAAGTGCGCACCAATGTCGTTTTTAACTTAATACAAATTTAAAAGTTATAGAAAAATATAACCTATGTCATCTTTATATGAAATCAGCAGATATGCAAATTAGGTAAAAAGAGACATTCTGATGTTATTTTCCTTCAAAAGAGGAAGAAAGCAATATCGTTACCTAAAGAGAGATAGTTTTATAATGTTTTCAATGAATGAAAGAGAGATAGGTATGCGTTAACTTTTCTGCGTTATAAACAGAGAGCGATTTATGTTTAGTTACTAGAAAGAGGGAGACAGAAAGAAATTTTCACTAAATGGTATAATAAATATTATATATATATATATAAAGAGAAACGAAAGGCCCGCTCGAGTACCTGGCCTATTGTTCGAAGGGTTTCTTTCAACCAGTGGGCAGTCTATTGTGTATATATATGGGACATTCCACGTCAACACGGACAGAGCTCTAAACAAAAATTGCTTTGATGGATTTAAACGTTCTAGGGTTTAAAAGATTTCTACGTTCATGTACTTTAAGATGCCGATGGGCGTTTTTTGCAAAATTCCATTTCCGATGCCAATAGAACTGTCAAAAGTCAAAAGATCCAAAAATCTCAAAATACTTTTATGAATTAAAAGCAAAAAACGAGGTAAATTATTCTGTAACTCATTCTTTATCAGTTTTTAGGGTTCCCGAATATAAATCTAAAGTTTTTTTTTTAAAATCCAAAATGGCGAATTCAATATGGCGGACAAAATTCAAATTTGATCAGATTCGATTAAAACTTGTTACTCGGGGGTTTTAAGGGTCACTGATTACGAATCTGAAGTCACTTTTTAAAAATTCAAAATGGCGGATCCAATATGGCGGAAAAAATTTTCAAATTTGATCCGATTCCCTTAAAACGTGTTACTCGGGGGCTTTTGGGGTCGCAGATTATGAATATGAAGTTACTTTGTGTTTGAGACTTCAAATTCATAATCAGATACGCTAAAAACCACCGAGTAACACTTTTTAATTAAATCTGATCAAATTAAAAAATTTGATCCGCCATTTTGAATTTCTACAAAGTAACTTCATATTCATAATCTGCGACCCCAAAAGCCCTCGAGTAACACGTTTTAAGGGAATCGGATCAAATTTGAAAATTTTTTCCGCCATATTGGATCCGCCATTTTGAATTTTTAAAAAGTGACTTCAGATTCGTAATCAGCGACCCTAAAAACCCCCGAGTAACAAGTTTTAATCGAATCTGATCAAATTTGAATTTTGTCCGCCATATTGAATTCGCCATTTTGGATTTAAAAAAAAAACTTTAGATTTATATTCGGGAACCCTAAAAACTGATAAAGAATGAGTTACAGAATAATTTACCTCGTTTTTTGCTTTTAATTCATAAAAGTATTTTGAGATTTTTGGTCCTTTTGACTTTTGACAGTTCTATTGGCATCGGAAATGGAATTTTGCAAAAAACGCCCATCGGCATCTTAAAGTACATGAACGTAGAAATCTTTTAAGCCCTAGAACGTTTAAATCCATCAAAGCAATTTTTGTTTAGAGCTCTGTCCGTGTTGACGTGGAATGTCCCATATATATACATATATCTCCCTATATTACAAAAATATATCGCTGTCGCCGCTGTCACCGCTGTTTCAAGATTCTGTAAGGGCACCCTATCCCAAAGAGGCCGTCAAAACTTATGTCAAAATTGACCTATTTTTTTACCTATAGGTCAAAAAGAGGATAAATAACGACCTCGCATTACGTCAAAATCTATGTCTAATTTGACCTATTTTTTGACCTGTAGGTCAAAAAGAGGATAAATAACGACCTCGCATTACGTTAATATAGGTCAATCTTGAGGGCAGTTTTGACCTAGGCGTCAAAATTTGACAAAGAATTCCCGCTACCCTCAAAATTTAGGTCAATTTTAAGGGCAGTTTTGACCTACGCATCAAAAATTGACAAACAGTTTCTGCTACCCTCAAAATTTAGGTCAATTTTGAGGGCAGTTTTAACCTTCACATCAAAATTTGACAAAGAATAGACCTTTTCATTTCAATTATTTTCTTTGCGCATGCGTTATATGGAATTGAAGTTCCGTTTCAAGTTTCGGCTCTGTTTACAGCTATTGCATTATTCAGATATGAAAAAAATTATAAAAAGTGTTCTAAATTATTATATGTTGCATAAAAATGGAGTATAATAATTATAACAAATACTGGAATAAATTTAATGAAAAAATTAAGGACGGAGCATATATTAATTATTTTATCAATAAGTTATTTTTTAAATATCAATAATTTATTTTAGTTTTTATGCATTTCTACATGCAACGTTAATAAAAACAATAAATAAAAGTGAAAGAGGTAACTATTGTGTTTTTCACATTTCATCAGCGAATAACAATATGTCAATATATAGTAAACATAACCTCACTCTGGAACCAACTCTTTTTTCTTCTTTTAGTTGACTGTTTTCTGCACTGCAGTGATATTTTGAATTGCAAATTTAACTGCGTGTTTTTATGTTTAAATTTGATACCAATTTTGCACCGGACACATTTTCTTTTCTCTAAAAAAACATGAGCAAAAGTAAAGTTTTAAAACATGTTAATAGAACAGGGCCGAAACTTTTAAAATTGGTGAACTGTGATGGTTGCTGCGCAGGCGCATTCGCGACTTCCGAATTGAAATGAAAAGGTCTATTCCCGCTACCCTCAAAATTTAGGTCAAGTTTGAGGGCAGCTTTGACATCTAATCTAATCTAATCTGACACCGAGATCGAGCTGGATTTTCCTCAAGAGGGGAAAGTAAGCACCTAGGTTATAGAACCCATTGTACCAAACTCCAGTTCGCTCGTTTGTAGCAACTTCTTAGAGTCCTGTTCTTCTCCAGAAGTCCAGTATCTCTTCTATCGATAGGTTGCTCACCTGCTTAGGGTCAATAATTGCTTGACCCCAGCTAGATAGCCTGATCCTAGCTAACGCTGGGCATTCAGATAATATGTGAGTCGAAGTTTCGTTACTTTCCCCACACAGTCTGCACATAGGTGAAACTTGTCTGCCTATTTTATGCTGATGGTAGTTCAATAGTCCATGACCCGTAAGTAGGCGAACTACGGTTCTAACTCTGATCTTATCGAGTTTTAGGAGATCGCTCGCTCGCCTCCTGTTGAGTGCTAACCCCAACAGAGTTTTCGCTTGCCTTCCCACCACAACGCTCGCCCAATACTTCTCATGTTCCTTTTCACCCCATCTTTCTATGGCTCCCTTAACCAAGCATGGCATTATTGCCACTGCTGGTTCAGGACCTATAAATTTCGTCTCGGAACCGGTTTTCGCCAAGACGTCTACTCTTTCATTACCCTTGATTCCCGAGTGACCCGGTACCCAAATCAATGAAAGTCTATTTACTGAACCCAACTCATCTAGTACGCTGCGGCATTCCCAGACGAGTTTTGATTCTATTGTGGGATTTTTCAGAGCCCCTAAGGCCGCTTGACTATCCACACAAATACAATCCTCTTGCCCTTTGTTCCATTTCGAATGGATATTTGGGCGCAAGTTAAAATCGCACAGACCTCTGCCTGCCAGACCGTGGCATATTGTCCTAATGACTCAGCCACTTTAATGCGGCCAGTTTTCCGATAAATTCCGAAGCCTGCACCGCAGTCCATCTTGGAGCCATCTGTATACCAGACTTCGTCCCCAAGTGGAAAACCTTTCTTCCAGTCTATTCTGGAAGGTGTAATGATCTTAAAGCGGGGTTTAAATTTCACCCTCTTGATCATTCTATCTTGCACCATACTTAATTCTGGTATTGATAGAATTGAGCGTGGAAGCTTGGTGTGTAACCCACCAACCCTCCACCTTCCCTGCGCAGTTAACCTGCTCATAGTAAGAGCCGCCTTTTTCACCGCGGCAATATGCAGAGGTACCTCGGCAAGCATGAATCCCAACGCAGCTGTTGGCGTGGTCCCCATTGCCCCCGTAATACCCCTGAAAATCATTGCCTGCAGTTGGCCCAGTTTCTCTTTAACCGTTATCAGTTGAGTCCTATACCACCAGACAACCACCGCGTGAAGAAACCTTGGTTTTAAGATCATCTGATAGAGCCAGTTGACCATATTAGGCCTTAGTCCCCACGATGACCCTATCGCCCTTCTACACGCCCAAAACGCGGTACAAAACCTGCCATACTGATATTCGAAATGTTCCCTCCAAACCAGTTTTTTATCCAGTATTACTCCCAGATACTTAGCCGATTCAGAAAAGGAAATCTCTTTTCCATAAAATATCGGTTTTTTCAAACTCGATACCTTATATTTTCTTGTGAAAACTACTATGTTCGTTTTCTCCGGGTTTACAGAAAGTCCAGTCAGATTGCACCAATCCCTGACAATCTTAAGTGCACGTTCCGGAAGTTCTAAGAGGGTCTCGATTGAGTGCCCTCTTATAATTATAAGGAAATCATCCGGATAACTTTGCGTATAATAACCCTGGCTATTGAGGTTCCTAATTAACTCATCTGCCACCAAGCACCACAATGAAGGAGAAAGGACTCCACCCTGTGGGCACCCTTTTGAGACCAGGCCTGTTACCTTAGCCTCACCATATTCCGCTTCCAGGGCCCTTTCTCGAAGGATGCTGTCGATCCACTTAACTAGCGGCTCGGGCACACCTCGCATCCTGGCTGCCCTACAAATGGCTTTACTAGAAGTGTTAGGGAAGGCACCTTCGATATCAAGAAAGGTGCCAACCGCATAACCCCCGCTGCTAATTTGTCCCTCTATTCTGCCTACTGCCGAATGGAGGGCTGTTTCTACTGAGAAGCCTGCTCTATATGCATGCTGTCCCTGATGCAAGGGAAAATCTCTAAGACATTCCTGTCTAATAAAATTATCCACCAGTTTCTTTAACGTCTTTAATATAAAAGAGGTTAGGCTAATTGGCCTGAAGTCCTTCGCCGCAGTATACCCTGACCGACCGGCCTTCGGAATAAACACAACCCTCATCTTTTTCCAAGACTCCGGTGTATAACTTAGAGCTATACATGCTCTCATAATTTTACACAGGGGTACTCTAATACAATCCAATCACTTTTGCAAAAGAACCGGATATATACCGTCCCCCCCTGAAGCCTTAAATGGTTTGAAAGTGCTTATTGCCCAATCAATCCCTTCCGGAGTTACAACCCTGGCTGCTAGTTTCCAGTGTTCCCGATATCCTCGGTTCCTACCTGGTCCTATGCCATGGCTGTTCTCCAGACCTTCTCTAAAGTCCGGGAAGTTTACCTCCATCAAGTGCTTTAGACACTCCCTTTTATCCTGGGCATACTGCCCATTAGGCAGCTTAATAGTAGTTAATTTTGCCATTGGGTCTCGAGCTAGTACTTTATGAAGCCTTGAAGCTTCTGGTACCCTCTCGATTCCCTCGCAAAAACTTCTCCAGCTGACACCCCTTGCCCTCTCTACTTCTTTCTTGTAAGAATCGCGAGCGGTATGATATTCATCCCATGCTCGCTGATGCCTACGTTTCTTAGCCTTATTAAAGAGCTTTCTTACGGTTTTCCTATGTTCCTCCAAACGGGGGGTCCACCATTTACCGCCCCCATTGAAGCCCATTTTCTTAACTACACAGTTCCTTTCAAAGGACCAGATAATAGAATCTCGCAGATATTCCGCTGCAAGCTCTAACTCCTCCATCGTTCCATAGGAAGTGGGGAAGCATGCCATGGAGGCCCTGAGGTCTTCACTATATGAAGCCCAGTCGGTACTCCTAGGTTTACGACCCCACTTCTGTTCCCGATCCTTCGATTCCAATCTAAACGTAATAAGAGAATCCTCATCAGACACCCTCCAGTCCCTCACGCCCTCACACAAAGACTTGGAACAGATCGTAATATCCAACACCTCTTTTCTGTTAACAGTAACGAAAGTCGGCTCATTACACTGATTTAAAATGTCTAAATCTGTATCTAACAGAAAATCTAAAAGTCTTCTGCCTCTGTCATTAATGTCTGTGCTACCCCAAACAACATGATGCGCATTAGCATCACACCCTATTAACAAGGGAAGCCCTCGCCTTTGGCAGTAATCTACCAACCTCTCCACCTCTCTTGGTGGTGCAGGTTCATCCCCTGTTCCCGGAAAGTAAGCGGACGCTATTACCACCTCCCTTTTATTTCCGTTCTTTTCTAGATACTTAGCTTTAACTACAGCTAAGTCCCTAGTAGTTAATTCCAAAAGTGGGAAAGCATCTAGACCTTTATAGATCAGACACGCCCTTGGAACTGGTTCCTGTGGTAAACTAACCAGCTCACCACAGCCGTTCAGACCTCTAATTCTCCCCTTGAAAACCCAAGGTTCTTGAATAAAGGCTAAAGCTGTCTGCATCTTTGTCAAGCTCTTGGCTAAAATCGCCGAAGCGCCCTTACAATGATGCAAATTAATCTGCGCACAATGAATCCCGGAAGCAGCCATTTTTAATGCTGATTCACGGTTTCCTCAGTCGCTTCCCCTCCCTGGGTACCCTGCCCAGCAGCTGTGTCAGTACCTTGCCTCGCCACTCTTAGAGTGATTTGACCTAGCCCAAAACACAGTTTCAACTGCCGGGCTTGGAGAGCTTCAATGTCGCTCTCTGGTACTCCTAACGCGAGAGTCCAGCCCACAGTCGAGGCTTGGTCTGCTCTCCCCTCGCCTCCCGAATACACCCTCCACGCGGATGTATCCACCCCGGTATTTTGTCTACCGAGGTTTTTAAGGATTGAAGCCTGGTTCACCCTAGGACCGGGTACCCACGCCACAACCCTTACCAGCTTGATTAGCTCAGCCGGATCCACCACCTTGATGGCAAGACCCTCTAACGCCTGACTGAACCTAGGTATACGGCTATTTAGCCATTCCCTAGATTCTGAGTCCAGGCACTCTACTAGGATCGCTCCCCTAGTGAGGCGAACCTCTCCAAAATGAGGATAGGGTCCGACTTCGTCCCCCCCAATCCCCTCATGAATTGCTACCCTTAATTGGTCCAGATTAGCCAACGTCATCTGGACCCTAGGATAGCCTTCCGCGACGATCGCCCCGGCTAATGACGATCTAGTGATCTCCGCAAACGATAAGGTTCCCCCTTGTGGGCCCCTTATCTTCTTTGGCGGCATTCTATTGCTAGGGGAAGCCTCCTCCGAGTCCTGCCGTCTTTTCCCCGGCCCGGACCCCGACGCCCTCCCCCCCACTCCAGAAGTGTTCTGAGAAGAGCCAGCGGTATGCGATTCGGTTCTCAGAGAGAACTTAGTTTCTTGCCCTCAAGGGCAAGGTTACCCAAGTGTTGCTGAACCCTTTCTACTTGTTGCGAGGTTTGGTCCCCTGTGGTCCCAACCCCAGCCCCAAGCGTAGTCCCCGCACCAGCAATGAGATTCCCCGAAGGGGGCTCTGCAATGCCCGCCTGTTCCGCGTTATTGCTTCGATTTTTGTTTAAATTAGTAGTATCCATTTTTGGTCCCACGAGAAAAGAGGAAATAAAAGGTCCGTCCTTGAAGAGTCTCTATTCAAGGATAAGGCTAAATACATCCGAGAGTTCGCCTGGTATCTCGGAGTCTCGTTTAAAGGAGAGAACACAATAACGTGAACGCGAACGTATGACGTCACCCATTTGAATAAGGGTGCGATCCCATGTGAGCAGAATACGTCGACCGAAAGCAGAAAATTATGAGTGCAAAAGAGATAGATAGATATTGTTGTTCTTTTCACGCTGATGATTTTCTGCTTTCGGTCGATGTATTCTGCTCACATGGGATCGCACCCATGTCAGTCAAGTCGGTTCTACAATGGGCACGTCGGACGTGGACGTCTGACGTGCCCATTGTAGAACCGACTTAAGATACCTCCATTCGAGCCCCCCACGGGGACGGGTCGTCCAGAGGACGGGCCCCTCCTGTAACACAACCGTTCCCGAACTTTACGAGAGCTAAGTAATGCCCAGCGATGGTCGTCCCCCGTCCAACCCCCCACGGAAGAACCCGACGGATTTGTTAACCCTAGTATCATTCATCCATGGACACGAGTTCATCACGGATTGGGTGGCAGAGACTCGCGCCTCAATCGCCATGGCACAGCCAACGTAACCATGGAAGGGTTTCTTCTTGGTCAGACTTCCACCAGTGAGAAGTCTTCGGAATGGACCCACGGTTAAGCCTCTGTCCATCCCGTCTCTCTCGATATCCCTCTAAATCCTTGTGCCCTGAGACACTGCCCAGCGAAACACAGAAGATTCGGTTTCTGTAGCGGCCGACCCATTTTGAAGGGTTCGACCCCCCATTCCCCACGAGAGATATCGAGAAGTAGCCTCCCACTGGGTAAAGCCCCTCGTGCGCCTCCCACCAACGGCAAGGTCTTGAAACCCCTAGGGAGGGCAGCTTTGACATAGAGACGTCAAAATTTGTCAAACAATTTCCGCGCGCAGACTTAATGATGAGGTGAAGTTTGGCATCTGACCTAACAATGTAAGGTAATTTTAAAATTGTGTTTGCTCTTACACCTATAATTTTGACCTAATTTTGACGTTTTATTTTTACTCCCTCATTTAGTTACGTCATAATCTATGTGTAATTTGACTTTTATTTAACTACAACTTAAAAAGGGACAATAAAGGACTATAAACGTATCTATGATACGTCAAAATCTATGTCAAATTCGATGCCTTTTTAACCTATAGGTTAAAATGGGTCAAAATATATGTCAAAGTTTAATCTAATTTTTGACATATAGATAAAAAAGGTTCATAACGATTGTTACATTACGTCAAAATCTATGTGTATTTTGTCATGTATTGTATGCAATTTATTAAGATGCATTGATATTAAGAAAAAATTACTTTAAATTTATAAAAATTAAAATAAATATAAAAATAGAGATAGGGGGTTGGCGCGCGAAGCGCGCAGGGGGGCGAAGCCCCCCTAGTGTAAATAACAAAGATCTAGTAATAAGTAAAAATATCTGAAGTGAGATGAATTTAAATTAAGATAATAAATAAAATCACTCATATTTATAAAAGGATAATAATTTAACTTACAAAGTTTTGAGCATTGCTTACAGCATTACGTACCAACGGTCGTTTTTAACTTATTACAAATTCAAAAGTTTTAAAAAATTTTTAAAAAAGTCAGGTAAAGTAATAAAATTCTTGTAAGTAATAATTTTTGAACTAAAATCAATTTCCATTTTAAAAATTTGGAACATTTCTCAGAAAAATGCACTAACTTAGTAATTAATAATGGTATAGATTTGGCACAGCGCAAATATACTAAGTACCATTTACATCCATATGAATACAAACTTTGGAAATGTCCATGGTTTGTACTACTGATTGTTCCCTAGAGATTCCAACAATCTTTTTCAATATGCTACATGCTTCATCATAAGCGTTTATTGTAGTTAATTGTTCAATAACAGTGAATTCTAATTGATTTACTGAATAACTATTTATTTGAATCAAATACAAATTATTCAAATCAAATAAATGGAGTATTTCAAACTAATAAATAATTATTTGAATCAATTATAGAAATTATTCAACTCAAATAAATATTTACTAGACCTAAGTATTTTGTTTTATCGTATCAAATAAATAGTTATTTGTATCAAATACAAATTATTCAAATCAAATAAATGTAATATTTCAAGCTAGTAAATAATTATTTGAATCAATTATAAAAATTATTTCATTCTATATTTAATACAAAAATTTTTTTTTTAAATATTTAGTATTTTTTTAATTCATTAATATATTATTATATTATATTTATATATTATATTATATATATTAACTGATTGTTTAACAGACTTTTAACATTATTTACAAACATGTTCACACAGTTTTTATTCACAACACAACACACAATTTTATTATTTTATATAACGCTTAAAAGGCTTAAAATGAAAAATATTCGCTCGCATGTGGGATCGAACTCACCGTCCCCCCACCCCTAACGCATACCGGAAGTCTTAAACGCACGTATTTAAACCGCTCGGCCACAGAAGGCTTCTCGCCTAATCTACTATATCAATGCCAGTGCCGTATATTCTGTATCCAAATAACACATTTTTATTTGTCGAAATACTTTTTATTTGTCTTCATAAAATAGGGTATTAGTATTAACTAATTCATTATTCGTATATTAAATAATTTAGTTAATTAGAATCGATAAAAAAAATTTACCTATTGGGTTAAATATTTTTTATTTATATTTAATAAATGAAATATTTCAAAAGTCACAAAAGTAGAGAACTACTATCGGTGTAAAATGTAAAGTCAGTTGGCTTTGACCGCTTATATCTTGAGTAATAAAAATCGCATAATATTGAAACAACTTGGAATCAGTAGCAAACAACATTTCTACGTTATTGTAGAAAATGAAGGAAATACAAAAAAATTATTTCGAAAGTTATTAATTTTTGAAGGGAAAAAGAACATGTTTTTTGGCATCATTTTCACAGGGTCTACTTTGGTAACATGTAACTAGTTTAATAAGAGTCCTATGATGTTCCTGATTTTTTTCTATGTTCCTTAAATCTTTCTGAATAATGTTATTTAAACAAATAACCGTTATTATAATAACTTTTTGAGATATTTAAAAGAAATAGTAGTCATGTTATCTTTGTTGGAAATTAAGGTACGAAGATGAGACAAAGTACACGTTACGGAGAATATGAGGACACTTATTACGATTCATCAACAAAAGTTTGGAAAAAAAATTATTTCAAGAAGTTATTTGCAAAACTATATTCAGTTTTTTGCTTTATTGCACCATTAGCGGTAAGGTGCACACCATCATAAACCATTTCCCATAGGCGTCAACATTTTAAATGCGATAAACTGTAGTATTGTAGACATGTCACATGAGCAGGTAAGTGAGGACTTCAGGTCACTTCTACCCAAACCTACATACAATTTTGAATTTCTTAAGACAGGAAAAATATTTTAGGTGTTTACACCTCTGTACATCCTTAACAACCAGATCTTTAAAGTTATAAATCAGTTTCAACCACAGAAAAAAATGACCAAAAAAAAGGTAGCACTAGCTAAACTTGGAGTCTCGGACAAAAAGACTTACAGTAGTATGCACCTGACTGCTAATGGTGCAATAAAGCAAAAAACTGAAAATACTTTTGCAAATAATTACTTAAAATAATTTTTTTTCAAAATTTCTTTGGCGAATCGTAAGCAGTGTCGTATTTTCCGTAACGTATGCTTTGTCTCATCTTCGTACCTTAATTTCCAACAAAGATAACACAACTACGGTTTCGTTTAATAATCTCAAAAAGTTATTATAATAACGGTTATTGGTTTAAATAACATTATTCAGAAAGATTTAAGGAACATAGAAAAAAATCAGGAACATCATAGGACTCTCATTAAACGAGTTATATGTTACCAAAGTAGGCCTTATTGAAAATAGTGTCAAAAAACATGTTCTTTTTCCCTT